CTATACAACTCACTCACAAATTCAAATTTCCACCCCTTTTCAATAAATATATTTTCATTTTTCTTCTTCTTCTTATTCTCATACTTATCCATCCATTATAAATCACAAATAAATTAATATCTCCATCTCCCTTTTTTTTCAATCTCCCATCCTCCTTCCAACCTCAATCCACCCCTTTTCATCATCCACATTAACTACAATCTCATTAACCACATACCTCAAATCCACCAAAATATACCCCCAACCACATCCAACTCACTTCCCCTACCCAAACCTAACCTAAAAAAATAACACATAATCACCAACCAACTAAATATCTCCAATCCTCTTCTACTTCCCCCCATACATTAAAACAAAAACTAAACTCACCCCCCTCTCCTTTAAAAAAACATCAAATACACCAAATACTCCCTCTTCTACACATCAACAAATTTACACCCATTCTCCTATTATCCTTCCCAATCCCCCCCCCCCTCAATTCAATCACTATCTCTAACAACATTCCTACCCACCCTATACCCCAACCAATCAATCCCAATTCTTCTAAATATCCTCTTAAAATTCTAAAACTTTAATTCATACACATAAATCAACTAACCATTTACCCATTATTTTTTTTTTATTTTATTACACTCCTAATTTTTCCACCAAAATTAAAAAACTCTTCCCATAATTCATATAATTCATCCCATATACACATAAACACTCTCCCTACCCCCTACCTCACATCACAACCAAAACACAATACCATAAAAACTATTACTTTTCCCTCACCATCTTCCCACCTCTCCACATTTTCTCCATCCCAAACTCCTCATTCATATTCAATCCCTAATTCACCCCCAAAATATCCCCCCTAACCCCAATTATATATATCTAACACAAACACAATCACCATCAAAACACAAATCCAACCTCACCCATCAAATCCAACAAAACAAACCTAATCAAAAAAAAATATATATACAAAATAATATTAAATATACAACTTATTTACCTATAAAATATCTTTACTATAACTCTTCCCATCATACCAATTTATCTCTACCCACATTAAAAATAATCCTAACAAAAAAAAAACCCCTCCCTACATTCCTCAATTCTTCCTACCAATATTTCAATTTCTCTATCCTTATTCATATCATTATAAAAAAAAAACCCTCTAAACCCAACTTATAAATATCCCCCACCCTACCAACTACCAACCATCTTCAACAATCTCACCCACAACAAAAAAAACCAACTACTCAAAACACCAAAAAACAAACCTATTCAACTAAACTCCCCCTAAACACTAACACAAACAATCTATTATCACCCCTTTTCAACACCTCACCTTTCATCCCTACTCATACTCCCCTTATCCCTCACTCCCCACTCCATACCCCTACCCCCAAACACCCAAACCCCCATACTCCTCATCCCCCACTCCAACTATATACTAATAATATTATTTCCCATCCTATACTTCCACATTCCTTCTCTTCCCATCCCAATCCCTTTTATTCCCAATTCTTCAAAATATACATAACCATCTACTAATTTTCAAAAATACCATACCCACCAAATCCAACCCTTACTCCACAACATAACATATATCCAAAACCACCATTCTCAAATAAAAATTAACAACACCTTAAATCCAATTCCACAATTTCAAATAAACCACCCTCCATTTTCTTTTATCTCTACCTCTTCTATCTCCACAATTCCAAAAAAAAACAACTAATAATATAATCTCTCTAACCATAAAATTTCAAATTATACATTTTCCTAACATAATTTCTTCTTATCTCTTCCCCAATCCCCAATCCAATCCTAAACCACCCTAACCCCTCACCTCATTATACAATAAATTCACTTCTCTAAACTTCTAACACCAACACAAAACAAAACCACTTTATCTATTCTTTCAACAAATCAACTCCCCCCATCCCCAACAACAACCCACCCTCAACCTTAAATTAACCACAAACCTATATTTTAAATCATAACACAATTAATCCCTTAAAACTATCAATTCAAAACCTCCCCCCTACCCCTAAATTCCATATACTATATAAATACCCTATAATCATATAACACAAATATACATTACTAATATACTAAATATAAATCTAATAATATAATCTATATAACTAATAATATACTTATATATACCCAAAAAAATACTCTCTATCTACAATCCCAAATTATTAATATCATTAATCACCTACTAAATAACCATATCTCATTCTTCATTTCTATCAATCCAAATTATCTCCATAAATAAACTCCTCCTCCATTATTCCTAAAATCAACAACCATATTAAATCTATCCTTAATAAACCTTCCCTTCCCATACATACAATTCATCCACAATAAAATACAATACCATACATACCAAAACAAACAAAACAAAAAAACCCCCATTCCCATATTCAAATAACCACCCATCCCCACCCAATTTCCATATAACCTAATCCTTAAAATCACTCTTTAACATATAACCAAAACAACATAATAAAACCCCCCCCCTCCCTCCACCCACCCCACCCCTTTCATTTTATAAATAACCCTTTCAAATTCACTAATTCAAAAACCAATTACACTATCCCACCTCCCATATATTCCCAATCTCCTCTCCCCCCCTACCCCCCACACTAACCCCCCTCACCTATACTTCCAATCCCACACACCATTACAAAAAAATAACCAACAACCCCCATACTTCACCCTTCTCCCAAATCCCACCACCTTCTTTCCCATTAAATTAATATAAACCTCCCTTTAATTATTAAACATCTTAAATATAACCATCACTTAAAAATATACTCCAAATCATAAAATAATAAATTAAACACCATATCAACCTAAACACCCCAACCCCCCTACCATTACATCCATAACATCTATATATTCTTAAATCATAAATTACAAAAAATTAAAACCCCATAACCTATAAAATTAACAACCCATCTCTCCTATTTTTATTTACTTAACCCACTCCTCCCATCATATTTTCATAATACAACTTTATTATTATTTCTTCAACTTACCATCCCCACACTCCATTTCAATTCCCCTACCCTATTAAATTCCCTATAACCATATATTACCAAAATCTTTTTTAACCAAAAAAATTTCCAAACTAAACATATTTCAATCCATTCCAATACTTATTCATTATTCTATTAAAAAAAAAAATCCAAAACATATTATTTCCAATTTCAAAAATTACTACCACCACTTATCATCTAATAAATCCTCAAATCACCCCCACACACCCCCTCATAAACAAAATAAATAATTCCTTCACCCACCTTCACCTAATATCATACCATAATAAACCAAAAATCCCTATATCTAAACCAAACCCAACACCCCCCCCTTTAATACAACCCAAAACAAATATATAATCTCATACTTACAACCTAAACCATCATATAACAAACCTATATCCATTACAAAACCCTTATCATATCAATCCACAATCATCTACCTTCTTATTATCAATTTTCCTTTATTATTTACCAATATATTTCTAATAATCATTTTTTTCTATTAACCTTTATAAATATTCACTTTTCCTCTTTCTTACCCTTAACATTTATCCCCTTCATCAATTCATCCTCCTCCTAAATTTATTATCCTCCCATTATTAAAATAACCCCTACCCACTAATCAATACTCACCCCACCTTTCTTTAATCTTTTATTACATTCCCTTCCCCCCCCCCAAAAAAAAACCATTCAACAACTTCTACCAATACTCCTCCCCTCCTAACCAAACTCACAACCCCCTACCCTTATACAACACAAAATTAACAAATATTAATATTTAACCCCACTTATCCACATACATACATAATCTCAACCCAAATTACAAATACCTTCTCTTACCTAACACATAATCTAACATAATACAACCTCCACCCCCTCACAAATTAAACAAAATTTAATCCTCACTAACTAAATATCCTTTCTTCCCTCAAATCCCCAACAAACTCCATCTCATCCTCCCCATCAAAAAACAATTCATTAACACTCCCAAAACATTCCACCCTTAATTCCAAAATCAACCCCACATAAAATCACCACCCAACCATAACCCTACAAAAACCAACCCTAACTCATTATCCATAAATACTTATCCCCATAAATTCAATAATAAAATATCAAAATCTTAACCACCTTTTCTAAAATAATATCTTCTAATCCTCTACTACCCCCTCTCTTCCTCACAATATACTCCCCATACATAACCCTCAAAACTCAAAAAAACATAAAATACATACTTATCCCATCCCCACACTCATTATAAAACCCTCCCCTCTACCCCCTACTATATCTTACAAAACTACACAATCCTATAATCCTTTCATTATTTAATATCATATTATTTCTCAATTTCTTATCATCTTATCATTCTTCCCTAACCCATATAATATAAACTCCTTAACCCATCATTCACATTAATTATATATATATCTATTTCAATTATTATTACTCTTTTTCATTCCACATTAATAAATAATACATATCTTTCTATATTCACCTTCCTATAAACACCATCATAATTTATCCCATCATTCCAATATCCTATAATCCCCTTACCCACCCCCCACAACAACAACAAACAAACCTACAAACAACCTTTTCCTCCTCCCCTTCCCCCATAACACCCACCTACAAAATAACCAACTTAATACCCTCTCATTTCCATCATATCAAAAATCCCATTTAACTTTCCATTATACTTAAATTAACCACAATTATTTTCAACATCATCTAACCAATCTTTTTTATCTAAAACTCCAATAATATACCACCCAACAATCACTATATAATAAACAACCACTATATTCATCCATTCCTCACCCTTACATCATAACCTACCTCACCCCACCACCACACCAAATAAACAATATCCAAAAAAACACAAACCATCACCTAAAAAATAAAAAAAAAATCTTCTTAAAACCAAAAACCAAACACCTCTTAAACACCATTAACAACAATTCAACAAAACCAACAATCATACACTAAATAATCCCAACCCCCCAACACCCAACCACAACCAAACACCCCAACACTACTCCACACCACCCCCCCCCCCCCAAACCCACCCAAACAAAACCCAACCAAAAACAAAACAACCCCCAACCACAACACAACACCACCACCACAAAACCAAACCCACAAACCAAAACAACCACCCCCCAACCAACCCCAACCAACCAACCACCCAAAACAACCAAACAACCCACCCCCCCACACCCCCCAACCCCCCACCCCCCCACCCCCCCCACCCCCCAAACCACCCCACACCCCCCACAACCCCACCCCCCCCACCCCCCACACCCCCCCCCCACCCCCCCACCCCCAACACACCCCCAACCACCCCACACCCAACCCCACCACCCCCCCACCCACCAAACCACCCCCCCACACCCACCCCCCCCCACCACCCAAAACCCCCCACCCCCCACCCCCCCCAAACCAACCCCAAAAAAAACCCCACACCCCCCAAACCCCTAAACCACAACCCACCACAACCCACAACCAAAACAAACCCAAACACCACAACCCCAAAAAAACAAACCACAACCCACCACCAACACCAAATAACACACACACACACCAACAACACAACCCAAAAACCAAACCCAAACCAACCACACCAAACAAACAACCAACCCACACCCACCCCCACAACAAACACACAAAACCCAAACACAAAAAAACCCACAAACCCCCCCAAACCCCCCCAACAAAACACCCAAACCAAAAAAACAAAAAAACACCCAACAAACCACCACCCACCCCCCCCACCAACCCACCAACACAACAAACCCCCCCACACAAACAAATCACCAACCCACTCAACCACCCCCCCCACAACCAACACACCCCAACACCCCACCAACACCACCACCCCCCCACAAACATACAAAAAACAAAACACCTAACAAAACCCACAAACAATAAAATCCACCAAAATACAACTAACAACCCATAACAAAAAAACACCAACACACAAAAACCAATACACCACAATACACAAACCCCAAACAACAAACCAATAAATAACAACCTAAAATCAAACAACTAAAAATAACCACCCAACACTAACATAAACCACTCTATTACACATCAAAACACTCCCCCACAATTAAACCCAAAACCACCCCCAACAACACACCACCAAAAAAAAACCACCAAACTCAAACACCCCCACACCAACCAAAAACACACCACAAAAAACAAAACCCCTTACCCACACAATAACCAACCAAACTAAAAAAAACCAAACAAAAATAAATACAATCCAACCTAATATCCAAAACACTAAACACACAAACCCAACAAACAAAACAACAAAAACCCTCCACCCCCCCACTAATTAACCTAAAACCAACCCTCACACTACACACAAAAACACACCTCCACCTCCCTTCCTTCAAAAACAAACTAAAACTCAAAATATATCTTCTACTACACCTAATCCCCCCCAACCATATAAACTTCTAATTACTTTCAACATACAAAAAATATTTTCAAAATAACCCCCCAATCACACACTCCACACCAAAAAACAAATATTACCCAAACACAATTCCAAACATTCCATCTTAAAAAACAATTTATAAATCACCTCCCCCCCTTTCTCACCACTAACCTCCCATACTCCCCAATATACAAAACCCCCATCAAAAAATTACACTCAAATTTACCAAATCTATCTTAATTATAATTACTTATTATATATTCCCCACCTTCCATATATACTTTTTTCTCCACCTTCACTTATCTTCTTTTTTTATAATTCAATATCCTCATCCACTATAATCTAATAATACTTCAATATTACAACACAACAACAAAAACTCAACCAACAAATCATACAACAAACCCCCCAAAACCATCACCAACCCAAACACACAACCCACAACCAAAATCAACACATACCCAACCCACCAAATACACAAACCTAACCCCCAAACTACACAACCTAAAACCACACCAACACATAACAAAACCCCTACCCCCACAAATCTCTTCACCCCTCTTAATAAATACACCCCACCAAAACAAACACTTAAAATCCACAATCAACCAATCCAACTATTACTTTCCTTTCATCAACCCCCCTTCTTAACACCACCAAAACTAAATACACCATTCTTTATCCTCCTCATATATACAAAAACTATACTCTACACCAATATATCCAATATTTCCTATTACTCCTAAATATAATCCCCTCACTCACCATCTAATTTTCTAACACAAACAAATACCAAATAATATTCCCTATTCCCCCTCCCCCCCTTCACACTCTTAATCTCATAATTACACCACTAATAACTTTATCCTAAATCCATACATCCACCAAAAACCCCTCTATTCATCCTCAATTTATATATTCTCCCACATCTCCATCAAAAATATTTTATAAAAAACTCACTAATTTTCATATCTAACAACATAAATACCTCTCATCTCCCCCCTACCCTTCCTATAATTAATCTCTCCCTTCTCTTTCTTCTTCCACCAATACCTACCAAACAAAAACCCACCAAACCCTAACAAAAATCTAAACTCTCATTCTAATACATTACAAACAACAAATTAATTACAAATTAAATAAAATAAACTCCTCATCCCCACACATCTATCCCTAAAAAAATAAATATACTCTCTAAACAAACACAAAACACCAACTTAATAATAACAACATAACAACCCCCCTCAAAACCCTACCTACCAAACTTACTCCCCAAAACCCAAAAAAAAAAACAACCCAAAACCCCCCCACTAAAAACCAAACCCACATCCCACAAAATTACCCAAACTTAAACAACCCCAAACACACACCTACACACATAAACAACACCCAAAAAATCAACACCTAACCCCCACCAACCAAACACAAAAAAAACAATACAAAATCACCCAAACCTATAAACATAACATTACATACAAAACCACCACCTCAACCCTCAATCATATTCACTAATTCAACATAACAATAAACAAAAAACAAAAACCCCAAAATACACTCTATAACACCAACCCCAAACCCAAACCAACCCAACTCCCAATCCCCCACCAATAAACAATCACCACTACCCCCCAAATACCCAACCCTCACCAACCATAACCCACCCCACTTTCACAATAAAACTAAAATAATAACTAATACCCCTTATATTCCCTCTAAAACCAATCCACAAATAACTACCTACTTTCCCATTAAAACATACTCTTTCCAATCAAAAATCTTAATTAATCCTCATCCCCAATCCATACAAAAATCACATAAAAAAATTCACCCTCCCCCATCATTCCACATAATAAAAACCTACATATTTACTACTCTCACCCACCTAAACATAACTATCTCTCTTACCTTTATAAAATTCTTATCCCAATAAAATCCTCTATATAACCCTTTCATCCAACTCAAATTCATCAAATAAAATTATCTTACCATACATACCCTTAACACATCATCACACACAATCCCTAACAAATATATATTACAAATATCATTAAATATTCAAACTAATAACAAACAAAAACCCCCCCCCCCCCCCCAATAACAATAACAAACAAACACATTATACCCCAACAATTTTCCAAAATCCACCCCCACAACTAAAAAACCCCCCCTCCCAAAAACACAACTCCACAAAAAAAAAAAAAACAACAATTCAAAAAAACAAACACCCACAATACACCCCCCACCAAACAACCCACTACCACACAAACCCACACCCCACCTAATCCCCATACCAACTCATTACCCCCCCCACCCCCAACCACTCACAAACCAAACCAAAAATATACACAAAAACACCCTTAACCCATATCCCAATATTTAAAACCCAAAATATTTTTTCCACATCCTCAATCTAATAAAAACTAATTTCCCCAAAACCAACCAACAAAACCCTATCAAACCCACCCAATATATCTAAATCAATTAAAAACTACTCCACCCCCACCCCTCAATAATTTAATTTTAATTTACCACCCAACCTAAATCATTCATCTTTCATATCTTAAACCCAAATACAAATCCCTCACTCTTCCACTCTATAATCCCATCCATCCCCACCCCCCCCACACACACAACTTACACCCTATTCTTCAACCATACACATACCAAATCACCAAAATCATCTAAAAATCCATCCCACTTAACACATCTTATAAATAACTAACACTAAAAAAAACCACCAACATACAACATAACAACAACCCAAAAACCATAAAATTCCAAACCTCACCCTAAATAAACCCTCAAAAAAAAAAAAATTATATAATATATTCTCTCTATATTACCTATTTATAATCATTCATTTTAATCCTCTATCCCCCATCCACTTAACAACCCCTCTCCACCAAAATTATTCACAACACAAACAAAACCACAATACCTAATACAACTTACCTAACTAAATTAAAAATCAACTAAATTCCCACACCCCCTTCCCTAATTTCATTCCATACTAATTTATAATCAACCATATTAAATCCTAAACTTACATCACATTTCCACTCCATATACCACCCCCTAACACACCTAATCATATTTACCAAAATAACAAACCCCTCTTCATCCAAAAAAACAAAAACTACCATACAATCACACCCACACCCTAAATTAACATCATCCAAACCCACCATTACATACCATAAACAACCTCAAACCTAATATTCCCCCCTACCAACTATCACCTTTAAAAACCAACCCAACCCCCTCACCACTATCTCCAATAAATAACTACCCAAACTAAACCCACCCCCCCCAACTACACCAAAAACACCCCCCTAAAAACCATTCCCCCCACAACAAAAACTAATATAATAATTTCTCATAAAATACAACTCCCCAAAACTATCATATCCTCAAAATCCACCACCAAATAAATAACTAAATACCCTACCATAACACCCCCTTATAAACAAACAACAAAAATTCACATACTTCCCTCATATCTACCCCAAAACAAAAAATAATCTCTATCCCCAAATCACCTAACCTTACAAACAAACCACCAACTATAAACCCATAAACAACCCCCAAAAATCACTAACCCCCACACACCAAACCCAACCCAATAATATTAAATTCCTACCTTAAACCTCTAAAAAACCATCCACCCAAAAAACCTAACTAACAACTACATTAACCATACCCATCACTCTTTTACATATATAATTCTATCATATATTAAATATACTATCCTTACACTTTTTTTTTCACCTACAAAATTCCCTCACACTTAATATAAAAATCATTTTACCTAAACAATATCAATTCAATATTAATATATATCTATTAATAAAATAATAAAATCTACTTACCACCTATCTTAAAAATCTTTATATAAACTACTTTATTCTTTACCCAATCCCTCTTATCTATAAAATTAAAAATCAAACTAACCAAATACAACTCCCTCCCATCCCCAACATCAAAATATATTTTCTATTTCTAAATTTCCCTTCTCAACTTATACTCTTACATTTCATATTCAATTCTACAACTAAACAACACCCCATTATACACCAAACCTACATTCCATACCTAAAACACTTAACCATACACACAAAAAAATCAATAAACAAAATAAAACCCATAATCAAAAAAATATAAATCCATCCAAATTCCACACCCTACACTAATCATAATACCATTAAACTTTAACATCACCCACCCATCTATTTAATATTCAAAATTAAATAACCCACCCACCCAAACCCATTCCATAACATAACCCAAACATATCCCCAACATAAACTATACCCTATAAAAATCCTACTAACCCCCACCTTTAATAAAACATAATAAACCCAATATATTCCCCTACCAAATTAAATTACCTAAAACAAACCAATAACACTTCCCACCACCACAAACTCAACATCAAATAACT